AAGAGACTGGACAAAAATCATGCACCTATGGATGAGGACAGTGGGTGGGGAGTGAGGGCGGAGGGTGGGGTGGGAACTGGGTGGAGGGGAGTTATGTTGGGAAAAAAGAGTAACTAATGTAATAATCTGAACAATAAAGATTTAATTTTAAAAAAAAAAGACATTATGGGACATAGCAAAGGATACTGGAAGAAAGACCTTCCGTGGCCCACACTAGCAGACTCAACACAAAGGGTATTGGTGACTTCTGGCCTCTGGGGAAGCCAAACACCTACTCTCTGAGGTTTTCTGACCTGCATGAATGAAGGTGGGACACCCAGGTTGGTCTTGGCCTCCGTTGACAAAGTAGTCCACATGTCCAACAGGAATCCGAATACCCAAGTCTAAAAGGAGGCAGAAGCCCGTTACCGTCTTACTGCAGGGGCATATTGCCCAGGTCCCACAGCGGAGTCCACTGGCAGCAGAGCCTGAGGTGTGACCTTATGAGCCCACCTACTCTGTGTTCTGAATGAGCACCACCTCACTTCTACATGCTATGAGAATGCAGGACTAACCCTTATGTTTCTAAAGAGGGTTTTCTGAAAGGAAGCACAAAATAAATCCATAAGATGCCCATATTTGCCTAATGAAAATCAAGAAAACTATCCCTTAACATAAGTTTTAATAAATCAGTAAGTGTTATAAGCTTAGTAAGTTTCCTTGTGGAATAGTTTCTATTTTATTTCAAGCAATAGTTCAGATATATATGTTTGGGGACACATTTGCACATTCTCCCACATATTTTTGTGCTCTCCTGATGGAGCAGAAATATGACCTGGCTATAAAGAGAGGAGTTTGCGAGACTATACACCTCATTTCATCATCATGATCATGTCTGATCCCTCAGACTGGGTCGGATCCAGCTACTAAAGACACAAATTTTCTCCATATCATCTATCATTATTGTAAGCAATTGATTGTGTATTATTTGTTTAATGCCATCTATCCAGGTATTAAGCAGTGACCTAGGAGTTATTCTTGATTCTTCCCTTTCTTTCATTCCCTACATTTATCCCATCACCTGTCTGGTCAGTTCAAAATATATTCAAAAATATATTTTGAATCTTTCTACTTCTCTCTGTCTCTACTGCCACCACCCTTGCCACTGTCATCACTCACCATCACCTCTCAGTCTTACTGCAAACACCCTCTAATGTGCCTCCAGGCTCCTCTTAATGCTCCCCTACAAGTCCATTCTCCACTTAGTAGCCACAGTAATCTTTTAAGGACATTCAATCATCACCCTATTCTCACTGATCATATAAGAATAATTTAAACTCCTTGCCATGGCAAGCTGGTTCTGCTTCCTCCTCTTCAACCTTACTCAGCACCTCACTCACTGCACTTTGCCCTGCCCCCATCCATATCCAGGCTTTCACTTTGGCTATCTTCTCTAGCTAAATTGGTCTTCTCCCAGCTCTTCTCAGGGTTGGTTCATTCACATCTGCAAAGTCTCATGTCAAATATGTCTTTGGGTAGACTGTCCTCAATAATTCTACTTAAAGTAGACAGTCTACCCAAGTTACCCTCTAACTCAGATCCTTCTTTATCATAATCACAATGTGTAACTACCTTGTCTGTTTATTTGTATGTAAGCTCCACACTAGCAGGGCCTTTACCTGTCTTTTTTCTGCTATATCCTCAATCCAGCAGAATACCTGGCACATGTGAGTACCTAATAAATACTTTTTGAAGGAATAAATGAATGAATGTTTGCCCAGTTAACCTGTAACTTCCACATGGGCAGGGCCTAATTTACTGTATGTCTGTTCACTGCAGTGTTCCCAGTATCTATCTGTGAGATGAAGGAAGGAGAGGTTTGAACACTATGATTGAATGGGTTTTGTCTAGAATCATCAATCTGTTAGTCTTGGATGCTAAAAGAAGACTTCTGAGCAAAGGGAATGAGACATGGACATCTCTCACTTGAACTGCACACACTTTGGTAGGGACAGGTGCTATTTCTTCCTTTACCCATCATGCTGAGCCTGGCACAGATTCATGACATTTGATAGGGAGTTGAAATGAGGAGGAATGCCCACTCCCTTTCTAACTGGTCAGAAGAGCTTAATTTGGTCATAGTGGATTCAGAGTTGGGATTTTTTCCTGGGCCTGTCACTACTGGAGAGGGGACTTTTCACACTTCACTGGGCTAAAGAACTGGACTCATCCCCTGGAGGCCTGAGAATCTGTCCCAGGAGTAAAATGTTCCATTCCCCCCAAGCCAGGCAGAGTCACCCTGAAAAAGCAGCATGACTTTCCCATATGTCAGCCAAACAGCAGTGCCCACCCTGGCACTACGTCAGCACAGGGTTAGTGTTGAGTCAAAGAGTGAGACTGGTCCATGATTGAAATATCTCCAGCTTGCTGCTAGCTAAAAATAAAACCATTCATCTCAGTGCTACGAAACTGAGAGAGCCTGCGGGATGCTGGGGAATGCCTCACTGTGCAACAGAA